ATGTTAAAGGCCAAGATTATGGGGTGTGCTTTGAAGCTTTTGCCTCTATCAGCAGAGATCAGTTTGCTTTGGGTGCGAATCTGTGCACTGAGTGGCGGGAGGTTCTTGGGGAGCAGTGTGAACTCTGAAAATTGTTCCTCTGTGAAAACAAGTGGTTTTGTCTCAGAAGACACATATATTGGCCTGGGGTTGAAATAGCCGCCCTGACCCAGAGGCTGCAAAATAGCTTTCCTTGCAGAAAAAAGGTGAATCCACTGGGCGTAGTGTTTTGAAATCAACATCACTTGAGGTGATTCTAATAACTTTTTGAGTTATCAAGAAAKGAGTAAATTGAGCACCTTTTTTTAACAGGGCTATAGCAAAATCCCAGGCTCCTGACCTCACACCAGCCTCATAAACCCCAGTGAGCCAGGCCTCTCCCCAGCTTTTACTTTTCTCTGCCTTTCACCCACAGATGTGTCCTTTAAAATCACTCTGCAGCTCAGAGCGAAAGTCACAAAATTAAATGTCTTAAAGTTGCATCATATCTGAGCAACATGGCTGCCCAGGTTGCTTCCCAGCCCAGACATCCTTAGCCCTCTCCCAGCATCTGACTTGCCCTGCTTAGTACAAATTGTATTGTGTGTCCGTAATTAGTCAGTGACAGGCAAAAGGGTCTGTCACACGGGATGCTCTGAGCTACAGCCCCATTGTGCATCGCAGGGTGATTCTGCCTTCAGCATCACCCTGGGGCACCCAGGCTTGGGTTTAGGCCCTTTCCCGTGTGCTGCTCATTCTCCTCCACCGACTGCTTTCATATTAGTGCCCTCTGCAGCAGCCCAGGGCTCAGCAGAGCCCGGGCACCACTACGCCCTGGGAATTGAGAGGGCTGACAAAGGCAGGCGATCCTCACGTAGCACAAGAAGCCTTTTGTCCTCGGCAKGGCCAGCTTCGTGCTGCGCCTGTGTGTGTGTGCGTACGTGCGCGTGCAAGCGTGTGTGTGTGTGTGGACGTTTGTTTATTTTTAATGGAGAACAGAAGATTGATGGATGAAATTAAGAAGAGGGATGTGTAATTGGAAAACAGCTCGAGAAGGCTACAGGCAGCATATTGAAGGCATCCATCAAACATCCGGCTAATGTTGTTAAGGGTGCGTAACACAACTGAGGACTGCAGGAGACACTGGGAAGGAAAAAAAAAAAAAAAAAGAAGAGGGAGGAGAAAGGGGGATAGGTAGGAAAGGGAAAACAGCAAGGGAGGGGAAGAGACAGCAAGAAAGTCTAATCAATAATATTTGTATTGCAATTGCATCCAAAGGCCCCTGTTGGGATCAGTAAAGGACTGTATAAGTACATTGAGAGGCATTCCCTGCCCTCTACAGTCTAAACTCAGGAATTACGGGATGATATGCTGGAGTGGGGTCTAGACGATCACAAAATTTTCTTGTGATCTATAAATCTGATTTAGTGGGATCTGCTATGAATAGGTTTAGAGGCAGAGGGAAGATAGCTGGCTGTGCCAAGAATACATGCACTCATGCCTGCCAGCCAGGCACGCAATTAATCTGAGCCACTTAGGGGTCTTTGTTTTTAATTATAAGAGGTAGGTAAAAATATGTGCAATAAACCTCCATAAACCCCCAATGGGACCATCAGCAGCCTACCCAGAGGCACTGGCACGTGACTCGGTTTTGATGCAGTGTTTTCAAGAGGATGGACTGACGCTTTAATGGACTACTTTGTGGGAAGTATTCCGTGTGCAGTGGCCATTAAGAAAATGCAATGAGCCTTTGTGTGGGGAAGGAGGCAAGATAAAGGTTAGTGTCATTAGGAGGCCAGCGGATACTGGAAATACGGAGGAACAGAGACTCCTAAAGACTGAGGAAAGGATGATGGGGGAGATATACAGGAATAGAGAGAAGAGCACCAGCATGATGAGGCAAAGGGGKAGGGTAAGGCTTTAAAGAGGAAAAATATCTCAAGACAGATTTTCTAAAAACAGGATTAAAGTCGGACTCCTTGTGAGGTTCCCAGGTGACCTGGTGCTTTATGCAGGATTTAACTTCTTCAGCATTGCATGCTATCAAGAAGGAATAGAAAGAAGGTGCGTGGAGAGATAAGTGAGCAAAGAGCACCAGGGAAGCTGGACACACAGACAGCATCTCTGCTGGTTTGCAGTACTTGGGAAGCATGAACGGGGCTGTCTGTGAGGGAGAGAAAAGAACTAGCAAGAAATTGTTAAAGCTCTTCTCACTCTGACCTGCTCTCCTCTTTGCCCTCTGGTAGTGCAGCTTCCACTGCCACCTCCTCCTTGCCTGCCTTCCCAAAGCGACTTGTGTTTGCAGCGGTGGCAGCCTCACTGCAAAGAAATGGTGCCTGTATAATTAACGCCTTTTATTAATGGGGAAAAAAAATAAACGCTGGCTGCCTGATGAGATGTAGCACAAGACCATTTGTAATTCCAGGCATCCCTGGGCAGGCAAGGAGCTGTGATGACCCCTAAATGAGGGCCTGGGTAAAGCTGAGTGTCTGCTGCTGTTACAAGGTAACACAGAGCCCCCCTTTACTTTGTGGGTTTTGGATTTCTTTGGTGATTCTGCCTGTTCTTATGGCTCAGAGTGCAGGAAACCTTGCTYTGTGCTGCTTCTCGGATTAGAGAAGATTTCCTGCCAGGGAAGCAGCCTCTGTGTGAGTAACACCATCCTGCCCGGCATCCAGCTTAAACATGTAACTTAGCTACACTTTTGGCACCAGAGCTTGAAGGCACCTCTTGTATCCACCCTTGACCCAGGCATGAGAAAGCAAAGAAGTTGTAAAGAGCTAGCATATTTGCCATAGCAAACTGCTGTGGGCATCACCAAAACACTTGTGTGCAGCCTGAGCCAAGCAGGACCCTTGGCCCGCTGCTTGATTGGCTTTCCTTAGTTTGAAGATAGAGGAAAACCAACCAAGTCATTTCTGGAGTGACTGGCTATGGAGCATAAAGGATTATCACCATGCACAGCTATTCTGGGAAGCATGGAGGTAGGTTGCCTAGAGAAATTGCTCCAGGATCATGCAGTTGGTAGCTGATATCTTTCTGTCAAATCTAAACAAAACAGTTTGAGTTACTAGTGGTAGGGCACTGGTGAGCCCAGCATCAAGGCAGAGCAAGAATTTAGAGCCAACCAATTTGAACTTCTTTCCTTCTTTTTGTGTCAACATAATGCCATAGCCCTCTTCCCTCAAACTGCCTTCAGTCTAGGAGAGCAACTGAGGCTGAAGGGTCTGTATCATAGAGTAGTTCTCCAGTTCCCCGGGAGTGTGACTGCAGTTTCCCAATGGAAATGTCTCTATAGGAGGTTAATGGAAGTTTTATGCTTCCTTTAGCCTCTGAGGAACAACTCGTCTGTAAGAAGGAAGTCTCCTGGGAGAAGTATTTGACATCAGAAAGGAATCCAAGAGGAAAAATACCACAGATGTTATCAGGAGGGAAGGGGAATAAAATCTAGCAAATGCATGTCCCAGTCAAGCATCAGGCAACCTGCTTGAAGTCATAGCAAAAGGTCTTCAGGTGGCAACAAGCTCCTTTGTACCATTCAATGCTTCCCTGGTTTGTTGGTGTGCAGCAGCAAACGTGGATCACTCTACCTGAAGAGCTGCCTTTGTTGCTGGGGGTGTGATAATAGGACTGGAGTTTTAATACCAATAGTGAGACCAGAGAGAAGCTAAAAAAATGGAGGAAATTGTTCTTGATATTGTGTCGAGTCATTTATGCACTGTGCATGGTGCACCTCCAGGGTTCARCTCTGAGATCTGATGTTCATATGACTTACTGCACAAAGGCTATGAAGTATCCTCAAATAGGGAAGCCAGGACTGAGATCTAATCACATCATGACTTTACACAGCACTGAGTAATGTCTCTGAAAGAGCAGACTGCAGCAAACATCCAAGGACTACAGTCTGTATTTTCCAAAGTGATCATTAAAGTTGGATACTTTGGTGAAAGCCTGGCTACCAGAGGAAGCCAAGGATCTGATTTTCAGATGAGTTGGCTGTGCATCAATAAAATTGACCATCTAAAGGTGCTCGACAATTGAGAAAACAAAGCAGCACAGAGTTGCTGTAGCTTGGAGTGCCTGTCAATAAGACACCCCTTGTTGTCAGTTATTCCTGGTACTTTTGTCCTTCAATTGTTTTCATTTTTCTTTAGTTTCTCTCACCATATGGGGACTGAGGTTGAAACCAAATGTTAACTGTTGTGGTTCCTTAGAACYTCATCGTGTACATTATGGAAATATTGTAAAGGAAGTTCAAGTATTCTGAAGTCTGTGATATAAAATAAATGATGCAATGGCCCCAAACTGCAAGCCAGCAATAGAAAGAGATCTGGACTAATTAAACCTTCATCAAACACCACCAGCACTATAGAATGACTGAGGCAGGGGCTTTGTGAAAAACTTAATAGGTAGTGGTGTGGTTATTGACTGCATCAATGCATCTGCGTAAGGAAAATGAWCTAAAATGCAAGAATGAAAAAGAAGCTAGGATTCTTTAGGACTCCTGACATTTTCTCTTTGTTTTGCCCACTGGTATTATTCATGAATGCAAATCTCACACACAGTTTTAAATAATTCCACCAATTAAACACATAAAACGTTTACCACAAGGCTCAGGAACAAACACTCCTCTGGAAAGGGAACAAGTAACAGTCCTGTCAGACCTCGGATTCAGCAAGGTCAACAACCTTAAGTCAAGGACAGCCGGCTCATCTCTAGGCAGCAGGAGGTTCTTCACAGCAACATAAATAGATGAAAGCTTAGATTCAAGAGCAGAGGAATTGTTAGGCCTGCAACCTAATGGGGGCTCCTTGTAATTGTATTTCAATAAAAGCTTTGCTGTATAATAATGTCCGACATTTATTATGCCTCTCTCTAAGCAAACCAAACTCAGTGCTTGAGTTTGGTTCTGATTTTACTGTCCTAGTGCTTATGGTGATTAGTATTTCCAAGGTCTCTCTCTTTTCTCTTTGCTCTGAAAGGTAGAGAGATGCCTGGGCATCAGCAGCTCTCGGCAGCATGCTGAGGAGACGTAACCTGCTTACCACGCTCCTGATCGCCTTGCCATGGGCTCTTCTCCTAACCTTGTGGCATCAGTACCCAACCACCCGCTACCTCAGTCTCCTGAGAAGTAAGTGTACGAGCTCTGCTGTCSCCAGGCCCAGGGCTGTGACGAGTGTTGGTGGGAGCCCTCACTAGGAGACTCTCCCTCAGAGAGTGAGTTAAACCAAGATAAATTTGTTCAAAGGCACCCYCAGTGTGTGGCTACAGCAGGCACCCAGGCTGTTTATAAGAGCATGTTAAAAATGCTTCTAAGGCAGCTTTGGGGAGAGCAGGCTGCTGTGCTGAGCATCCCTCTGAGAGAGAGCACTCCAAGAAGGGGGTTGTCTTGGGCAGATTCCAGAGAGACAGGTCTCTAGCATCCCTGGAGAGGTGGTAACCCCTGCAATGATTAGTTTCTTAACACCTTTCTTCCTCTTCCMTCCTTCCTTTCGCCCCAGAAGATACAGATGAGAATGTGACCTCTAAAGCTCTTGTCAATGGCACCTCAGCACTGAGGGAGGAAGGCTTCCCATCATGCATTCGGCAGCAGAGCTTGGTGGCAACGCCTAAAGTCATCCAGAATTATGTGTACTCCAGGCCTCCCCCATGGTCAGACACCTTGCCAACCATCTTCGTTATCACTCCTACCTACACCCGGCCAGTGCAAAAAGCCGAGCTGACCCGATTAGCCAACACCTTCCTACACGTACAGAACCTACACTGGGTGGTGGTGGAGGACTCGCCCCGGAGGACCAACCTGGTATCCAACCTGCTGGAGAAGGCAGGACTTAACTTCACCCACCTCAATGTGGAGACCCCCAAGAGTCTGAAGCTGGGCCTGTCCTGGATCCCATCSCATACCCCAAGGGGGACATTACAGAGGAACCTGGGGCTGCACTGGCTGAGGAACAGCTTCAGCAACTCTGCACCACCAGAAGGGGTAGTGTATTTTGCAGACGATGATAACACCTACAGCCTGGAGCTCTTTGAAGAGGTAGGAATCCAAAAATCACATGGGAGAGAAAACACAATATAGCTGCAAACCTGTACAACTGAGTCTCTTAAGGCAAAGTCCCGTTTGCACTTGCAGAAATCTCTGGGCCAGAACTACCAAGTGAACATAAATCTTCACTGTTGTAGCAGTGTTAGAAAAGTTGACCAGCTGTCTAATCCACTTTTTCCCTTTTCTTGCCCTTCTGTATTCTGCATTCCAACCATCACAACAGAGCTGTGTCCCTGGGATCAGAAAAGCTTGACCAGAATTCTCCTGCAGTCTTGGCTTTTGTGAGACTTAAGTCTATTGCAGACTTGCAAAGATGATTTTTCAGTAATACTCACTTGCCACCAATTTAAGCCAAGCAATAATATGCCACTTGAAATCCTGTGTTATGTATCAGAACACACCTCAAGTTTTCACAGCTTTTTAAATCTCTGTTAAGAGATCATCTTTTCTTATTTATTTCTAAGTCTTTTCAGACAATTTAAAACAACCAACCAACCAAACAAACAAACAAAAAATCACCGTCTTAGGGAGTAGCCACAGATGGTTGAACAAGGCGGGGTGAGGGTAGGAAGTTGCTTTAAGTAAGGGTAGTGTGCTTAAGTAAGGACAACAGTAAGGTTGAATCACTGAGGGAAGGAGATTACTCAAAAAGAGATGAGAATAATCTGAGTGAAGTCAGTAGCCATGAGATAGAAACCCAGCAGAAGTAGTTTGGCATGTTTCTGTTTAGAAAAATTATAAAAGTTCAGATGAGATCAGAAATCAAGGTTTTTTCTCTTCAGGGGGACTGAATATGAGTAATAAAATGCAGCAAATTTGGGGGTTCGGAGCAGAAGGATGTATTACAACAGAGCTCATGGCACGTCAGGCTGTAGCTTTTCAAGCGGTAGCACAGGGGAAGAAGAACATGTGCAGCCTAGAGCTGCGTGATTGTGTAGGAAGTCAATGGGGGAGGACAGGTGCCAAATAGTACAGAGGATGGTGTATGAACAGGCTGGAAGAAACGTCACAGGGCTGAATTCTCACAAGGCTGTTTCCTTCTGGCCCACAGATGCGCTACACAAGGAGAGTGTCAGTCTGGCCAGTGGCTTTCGTTGGTGGCCTGCGTTATGAATCCCCAAAAGTGAGCCCTGAAGGGAAGGTGGTGGGCTGGAAAACCGTCTTTGACCCAAACCGACCCTTCGCTATTGACATGGCTGGATTTGCCATCAGCATCAAGCTAATCTTGGAGAAGCCTCAAGCCAGTTTCAAGTTGGAAGGAGTCAAAGGAGGCTACCAAGAAACCAGTTTGCTGAAGGACCTGGTGACTATGGATGGGTTGGAGCCGAAAGCAGCCAACTGTACAAAGGTGAGCAAGACGAGAGATATTGAAGATGTCCCTTTGTTGTCTTTGGCCTCTCCTGTGGCCTCCTGATATGTCCTGGTCACTTTCACTGTGCCTGCTCATGCACCAGGCTCATCAGCTTGGAAAGGGGGTGAGGGAGATAGAGCCTGTCAAATGCTTTGCCAATGAGAAGCTCAATGAATGCCGGGGAACATTTAGTGCCATGCACTGTAATTGTGTTAATAAAGAGCCTCTACTGCACCTTGATTTCTTCTCCAAAATCCATGAGGATTAGCAGAGGGATGAGCCAGGAGTTTTGGTCCAGAACAATCTCTCCTCCTCGCTACTCTTTCATGCACTTATAAAATCTCCCCTAGGTCCCGAGCCAAGTCCTTTGAATCGCACACTTCAAACAGTTCTGAGCTCCGGGTTGCTCAGGATCCTATCTGCTGCTCACAGTGTTTCCATGGCATCCAGAGCCCCTCAGCTTTCTTTGTGATTCCCTGTAGGTGCTGGTCTGGCACACAAGAACTGAGAGACCTACTTTGGTTAATGAAGGTAAACGTGGATTTACAGACCCCAGAGTAGAGGTGTAAGCGGAGAGCCAGCTCCAGTGAGTATCCTTATATTTATTACTTTTAGCAAGGTAAATAATCTATGCTGCTTTCCTTAATTGTGTTATGAATTCATCTAGCTCTGCATGGACAAGATAGCACCAGTAAATCTCTTGTCATCTGACTCTTAGCACAAGAAGCAGATTCTCACCTTTACTCCCTGTCTGCATTTCTTATTCATTCAAGCCTTCTTGCAGTTCACATGGAAGTTTTGCCTGCATAAGGATGAGAAAAAAAAAAGGTAGAAAAATCTCATCATTTCATTCAGTAACCACAAGTCCAAAGTCTCTTTGGTGCGGCAGTTGTGCTGCAGTGTGTGCAAAGACATCATACTCCTGCAGATGAGCTGCTTTTCTTGCATCTAAGCAGCCCTGCCACCTCTGCTGTGATTCACTTGTCTGCCTTCACGTTCAGCACCATGGTATGGGGCAACCTATAAAGACTAATGGGATGCTTATACCACCTTAAAGCAGCAAAAAATAACCTATACAAACTCTCATGTAGTCTGGGGGGACATGCAGACATTWCCAGAGGAAGGAGTACGTCTGGTGTGAGGAGAAATAGCGAAGGCACTAGGAGTGCCTGTATGGTGCACAGAGAAAAGTTCAGTGGGGAGAAGGGCTTAGAGCCACCACCACAGGCAAGGGCAGGAATGTATCAGAGTTCAGTGATAACAGAGTTCAGCAATATATTCTTAGAAATAAAGACTGATGAAGAATAGGCTCCAGGGAAGATGTAGAGACACTCACCTCTAAAATCGTACCAGCCATATGGTTGCCAGTAGCTGCAATGTTGGGTCCTCGCAACACCGATCTGACACCATGGCAGATCAAGCTGGATGMGTATCTCTTAATTTAGATATCAAAAAACAGCATGACCTGATGGCTATGACCTCTACTTTATATCAGCTGCCCAGTCCTCTGCTCCCAGTGTTTGTCCTTGGTAGGATCCTTGTCCATAAATCCCAGAATAAAGGCATCAAATTTGGGAGGTACAGCATCCTGTACTCTGTGGATCCAGGGTTTACACCTGCTATTTTCAGAAGATACTCCAGAGTATTTTCTATATTCCAAATATTCCAGGGTATCAGTCCCGTCCCCTGTATACACTTCAACTCAGATCTACCAAGTGGAGCAAGAGTGACAGCTTTTCATGAGCAGTCATGAGTGTTTCACCTTCTGCACTGGTCCAGTGTGCCTATTTCTTGTAGCGTGTCCAGCATTTCCACATCATCTTGTCACCTTTGAATGACAGCCATGCAAAGAATGAAAAATAACCCCAGCTCCTGCATATTGCAGGGATGGGAGTAGGAACCTTGCTGTAAGCTACCTGGTCCTCCTGGTTGGCATAAAACTTGCATCATATTTTCGATTTTCCATGAATATCTCAGCTATCCTTGGAAAATTAAAACAATGCCAGATACCTACACTTGACAACAGCACTTCTCTTGGCCTGTGCTTCTGTGAYATCCACTAGCAGAAATGTCCTCATTTTACATGGGTACTTTACATATCCATTCATGCTGATCTGCAGTAAAATAAAACTATGACTTCCCAAGCTCAGTTCTGCTCAGGATCCAGTTAACTGATAGGGAGTTACCACTTCACACAGGATGAGTGAGAAAATTAAGTGTATTAGGCCTGCTTGCCTAATAAACTTATCAGAGGGGGAGTTAAGTACTCCATCTCAGATGCAGAGCGTAGGTGTGATTATTTCATAAATGTACCATGTGTCTGCTCTTTTCTCCTCATACTCACTCCCTCCTGGCCAAACACACATTGTCCTGCATGAGATATGCCATTCATCTACTGTGAATCCTCATGGGAATAGCTTCCTGCAGATCAGAATTTGACCTGTATCATCACCTTTCATGTGGGGCATCAGCCCTGACCTGCCAACAGGGTAGATAGCACCTTCTCCAGGACACAACTCCRAAGCAGTGTCTTGAGTGTGAATCTGCTGCCCTGAGAAGCTGTTCTGCTGCTGAGAGGGGTTTTGGACAGTTAAGCAAAAACACCATGTTCTCCCTTAAAGTTTTAAATTGGCATCCCTGCTGATGACTGTCCTCCGGAGGTCCCTAATAATGAGGTTGCTGAGCTTCAGCATCTTGCAGACATGATCTAGATAAGCTAGAGGAAAAAGAAGTAAAATTCCTCCCTTAGGGATGTTCTGTTCTATAGCTACAATTGTGAGAATATTTCTGTCTTTCCACCTGAGAACTTGACCTCATTTTGGGTCAGACCAGGCCGGGCAAGTCCCAGATCTCCCAGAGGCCTTTTTCCCTTTTAACAACTGAGGGCATGAGCTAGGGAGACATTGCTCGGTGCAGGGTTTGCTGCTCTGCTGACCCCTTAGTTCAACCACTTTCATAGCTTCTGGGCATGTGTGCATACTGTCTGGATTGCCACAGATGCAATGTAAAGGGATATGCCCATCAGGTAAACTGCAAAGATCAGGGTCCTGCATAAGTGGTAGTTATATGCTCCCAGTTGGAGTTCACTCTTTGCCTCACCTGCATTCCCACTGCTCTTAGCTGTGTGTAGCTGGACAGTGTTTGTGAATCTATAAGAGAAGCACTAGAGACTCCAAATCAGAGAAGATTGGAACAGAGGGGGGGAAAAAAAAAAAAAGACACGTGCCACAGTCCTGATTTTCATAGGAAACAACAAAAAGAGGTCAAAATTTAATTGAAATGTTTTACCTTTATGCCCTAGGGATTCTGCTTTTCTCTGCCCCAAGAAACATAAGGGAGAATTTGAAACGTGTTAAGGACAGTGAGTGCGATCCTCAGCTGCCTCTCCAGCCGCTTGAGGCAAAGTGAAGGAGCAGGAGGGCAAAAATGAGGTCTCTGAGCCTCTCTTCAATCAAATTAAGACTTTCACAGTGGAGACATTGTAGAAAGTAGCCACAAACCTGCTCTCTGAAAAATGCCTTGTGGACATCCAGAGTAGGAACGGGAATGTGGGGAGTGTAGGAAATCCTTGGGATTACAAGGGACACAGATTAACTGAAAGCCAGCATAGCACATGTCCCAGCAGATTGTGTATTGGAACCCTCCCATAGAAGGAAAAAAGTCAGCTTCTGAGAGCAGGAGAGGGTAAGTAGTTTTGCATAGTATTTTTCTTTTGGTAAATCCTGAAATCTACCACTCAGAACTAGCTATTCTTATTGTTATCACCGAATAACAGGCACTTGAGAAAGAAAAACTCACTCAGTTTAGCATTGCTCCTTCTGCCTCATGATATGTGGAGATGGGGAAATAAATTTCCCCAGCTTCCAGAGCTTCCAGACAGGTTAAACAGAACTCATCACCTAGCTTTTCCTTGAAACAATATCAGAGGGGGTAAATAAGGATTTTACTGGGAAAAAAAAAAAAAAAAAAAAAAAAAAAAGGCCTTCAAAACCTTTTACTCCCACCCTCAAACTTTGTGGTTTGGATGGAACAAGCAGCATTTCAGTCACACCACTAGCCTGAGGCGGTAGCATGGTTGAGGAACCTGATAACTGATGCCTGGTGTTTACCTGAGCCAAAGGACATATCTCTTGGAAATGCATCTCTTGACACAATGTAGTGGACAAGACACGAAGACTCGTGTCTCTTCCTCATCACATTTTATGTTATTTTGTTTTTTTACAGAGGCACAAGGCACCGTTGGTTCCACGGGTTCATCAGCAGCCACAACAGCTGTGTACACTGCCTGTTGGAGGATGATAAACACCCCAAATGGGGCCATGTCCAGCAGCCACCTCTGCCCCAAAGTGTGGTAGCAAACAGGAAGAGAGCTGACGTGGTGCCCTGCAATCCTACACATCTTTACCTTTGACTTCATGCACTGGCTCCTGTTTCCCATTGGGAAGAGGAGTGCTTCCCTTCCCCCATGGGCCTTGCCTTCATTCATCAAACAGGACATTTATTAGACATGATCTTTGTTCTCCGTTGTGCCGGTGTACGGGCTGACAGATGGGCTGGCTGTGGGATTCCTGAAGATCTCTATGGGCAGCTCATGCATCTGTAGCGTACAACTGTGTCGGGCTACAATGATTCAGGGGCCAGAGTTGCCACATCTGTCAGTCAGCCTGAGAATGGGATGCTCTCAAAGCAGCTCAAAAACAAAGGTAAACTAGGAGAGACTCTCCCTCGGAAGGATACGTGCAGATGTCTACATGGCACAGCCTTTGTTTTGGGGAGAGCATGTGCGGAAGCACCCCATTCTCAGTACGGCACCTCAGAACGGTTTGTAGGGACCGAGTAGGGATCTGGTGCTCACGCCTCCTCAGCTTGTCGCTTCAGCTGGGAATGGAACTGCCCTAAATTATGGTAGTTTTGCAAAATGCCATACCAGATCCGCGGCCCCCACCCCTGCAGCCATAGCGTACCTCAAAGGCCACGCCTCCATGTGTCACCGGAGAGACAGGAGAGCAGGAAAAAAAGATGGGTGGACTTGGAAGGTTTGATTCTAGCCTGGCGCCCCCTGACAGCAGCGCCATGAGGCACTTCAGCAGCATCAGATCAGATATATAGCATTGTGTCCTCGATTCCCACAGACAGGGGCACCTCTCTGGAGCAGAGGTGGGTGAGAAGCGCTCAGAGAAGCGGAACCCTGAGCCTGCGCTCATCTCCTGTGAGACCAGCAAGGAACTTGGGATGACACCAACAAGAAACTCTTCTTGAGCACCATGAATGACAACTGAAGAAGCAAATGTGACAGGGCTTTTCAGGTGAACTTGAAAAGGCATGTTTGGATGGCCCTGGGAACACCATCATCCAGAACAATTTCCTTTTCCCGTGATAAAACAGGGGGACGGTGAAGGTAAAGGTGGCCCACAAAGCAGGAGGCAGCAAATAAGGATGGGACGATACACTGGATTAAAAGCACAATTGGTTGTATCATGTAGAGAGGGGCAGGTGTCGCTCCAGCTTCCAGCTTGAATGACCCAGAAACCCCTCTAAGCACATCTGGAAAACCATCTTCACTCAAGCCATGAGAAAAAAGGCTTTCGGCTATTAAAACACATTGAGAATTGTTATAGCTGGAGGAAAGTTATAAGTAATTGAACCCAAGAAAATCTGYGCTGGCAGGAGACTTATTTATTTGATGATTAATTTATACAATTCTTTTCTGCCTATTCCTTGATTTGTTTTGCATTTTAGCTTAGCTCATCTAGCATATTCATGAAGAATATTTCCCACCAAATTCTCGCAGGAGAAGAGCAGAACTCTGCGTTCACTGCTGAATGTTACATTTTTCACCTTCCCTGGGATTTCTTTACAATGGCATTTTAAGAGGGCAAAATAATCAGAAATGCAGCAAGGAGGTGAGCCCAGCGAGGGAAACTACTATTCCTTTGTGCAAGGGACATGGGTGGCACTGGGTTTCCGGCTCCCGAGCAGTTGTAGCAAGGAGAAAAGGTGCAAAGGGCTGCCCTGCTCAGCAGACAGGCCCCACAGGATCTGGGGAAGCTTCCAAGAGGGCCCTTCAAAGGGTACCTGAGAGGACAGGTTCATGCACCCTTGTGTGGAATGAGCAGCAGCACATCCTGCTACGGGAAGGAGGTTAGAGCACGAGAAGGGGCGTAAGGTGCAACCCCTTAGGGAAGAAATGGGACCACGGGCAGCAAACAGAGCAATGGAGGCTGCCCCTAATTTATGTGCAGTGGGGCTCAGGCCGGAGATAAGCACATCCAGGAGAAAAAGCTACCTGGCCAGACACGTCAGCATGAAGGAAAACTAAATGTGCCACGAAAACTGTCTTCTCTGGACCTTAGAAAATAGTCCTTACTGTTTTTTACAAGGGCTTGGCATGTGGGAACTGGACAGCAGGAAGGAAGCCTGGCTTCTATAAATTATTTTTTCTTCCTCATTTGTCAGAGCTTTCTGTCCCAACCTCTGCATAAGGTAACAGGCTTTGCCCACCCATCCCTGCCAGCTGTCAGGGTCACTGATCCCCCCTTCCAATTCCCACATTAAAATAAGACCACAACCTTTTTAGTGAATTTAATGAATGAGCAACAGAGAAGGAATAAAGGAGTTATTTAGGATCTTGCCTTTTCCCCTCTGAGATAGGTAAGGATACTGCCTGTATGAAAAGCAGGGGAGGTGGTGACCGATGCCTTGACCTTTAAGCCAACTTTATTTTGATTTTCATACAGGTCCTATGTAGTTTCAGCATTACCAGTGTAAGTTTGTAGCAAAGGCCTATTGCCATTGTAAAGGATATCCCCCACCACATGCTTTTTACGGATTTCTTCTCTCTGTATTCCGTTAAGAAAGTGAAATTGTTATTCCTATTTTTTTCCCGCTGGGAACTTGTATTCCCATGAGCTGTGCTACACTGCTAGCTCTGTAGTCTGCTCTCAGGGCTAGACCCTTTAACACTATTTCCAATCTTGACCCGGCCTGACCCTGGAGGAGCGCAGGACAGGAAACTCTGAGAAGCAAGAAGTTAATCACTCCTTAAGTTGTGCAGACCCAAAACCTTGTATGGGCAGTGGGGATCTACACAACTACTCTTCCAGGCTGGCAGACATTTCGACATGTGTTCAGCACAAATGCTCCTTTGTAGCGCAGAGTCAGGACAGCAAAGACTATGGCCAGACGAGATGCTTCAGCTAAGCGCAGATGAGCAAGAAGTATCACAAGTTAAGCTGAGCTTGGTGGGAGAGCCCACGAATGGAGCAGCAGTGAGAACCATAGGCATAAGGGTAAGCAAATACAGGGGTACAGTAGGGAGGGAAGCTGCAGATCAACACTAAGGTGTTCAAAATGAAAGAAGGCATCACAGCTCCTGTTTTTACTAGCACATAAGTGTCTGATATTCATGTTCTCTCAGTTCCACCCAATTCACAAACCAATGAAGACTACTAACATTTCCTGTTGCAGAAAATACTACTGATAAGGGAAAGAGAAGGTCAAGGAAGTAATTTTTAATGGTTATTTATTTATATTGAATGGTACTAGAACGTTATTAAATATCATGTAAATAGTACAACATGGCACCATTGTCTGTCTTGCAGTGTAAGTGCTTTTCCAAGAAAACAGTGGACTCTGTAATGAAGAATGTTATCGGTTTTAACTGTGCTCCTTTCAAGGTTATTCTCCCCACCCTTCCTCTGACCTAAATACTACACAGGCAATTTAAGCAAAAACACTTCAGTTCCATGGCATGGGAAGAGGTTGCTGGCATTATGGAGGTGAAGGAAGGAGGCAGAAGGGAACTGAGTATTTTGTCTAAACTGCACAGTCCCATCTCTAGCCACTATCTATCATTCGAGTAACGTGGTGACAATCCAAGACTACCCTATAAAAGTGCTGATCAAAACTCAGAAGTGGGCAGTGGCCAAAACGTAGGGCATTTCTCCATCACAAGGGTCTTAATGAAGTGACAAGCCCTATGGCTCCATCACACCAAAACCAGGCTGCTGCTGCTGACAGGGGGCAAAGACTACATAATTTCTTCTGGGTAACACCAACCAAAAACATCCTTTGGTAAAAAAAACATCCTTTTGGTAAACATCCACTGAAAGGGTAAGAAAGAATAGGCTAAGGCATTACAACGTCTTGTCTTCCTAATGAACTGCACAGTGTTACCAGTTCTTGCTCCTGCTGGTCCCCAGCAAGCTATGATCCACTAGAAAAAGTGCATGAGCCCTCCCCTGAGCACCAGATGTCAACGGGATCAGAGAGATCCCATGGCTGGTATCCCATGGCTGATCTCTTGATCATTACTGCTCTTTCCAGACAGGCGGAAAATGGTTAGGCCTATTTGATGGGACCTCACTGTGGGCTAATCCATGAACCTGGAGAAACTAGGAGACTGAGGTCCTGTTTCTAATGCTGTCACTAATGCTGTATTCTGTCATTGGACCAACATACAGGCCAGCGACTATTTCTAAATGCCTTTTTTTCTTCTTCTTTTTTTTTTTCCCCAAACTTATCCCTCAGAAAAACTGAAGCACTTTTAAGAGTCTTTTGAGGAAGCTTTGCAAAGAATTTAGGATATGAGATGACAGGTGAAATCTATGCCTCCTTATGTCATAAATATCACATTTGAAAGGTACCATTTAAGGTGCAATATGGGGTAGACAAGCAAAGGCTCTGAGAAAGGCTGAGGAAAAAACTGCAATGCCTCAAGGTACCTGAAATCTCCACTCTGCTTGAAAACGCAGTTACACCACAAAAACCAGGGACAGCTCTGCTTGGCGACAGTGGCAGGAGGCCTCTCGAGTGCCTTTGGCAAGGATTTTCATTGCTATCATCTTCCTTGATCCTTAATAGAAACCCTGAGGCTGTGGAGAGCGGCAGGTAGGTAACACTGCCCGACACTGCTTGGCCGCCCTGCTCTCTTCCTTCCCTCTGCTCCCTGAGCTCCTTCGTGGCAGAGCTTCCCAGCTGCCCGGCTGCTTTTTCAATAGGGAACTGGTACAGGCCCTAGGAGAAGGAGGAGAGGGGGGAAGGAAAAAAAGGAGAAAGAGAAAGGCAAGTAAGAATGACTCATTAAATGGTGCGAGGTGCTTCTCTGTCTCTCATCGGGTTGGAGACTGATTGGAGGTGAAATTACACTTGCAGGGAGGGGAAGAGCCCTCCCATGGGACATCCAGAGGCTCTTACACAAACTTAATTTCAAGCTCCGTTGAAGATGGTGTTTGGCTTTTTATTTTTGGATTGCATTCATTTAATTTCTCAGGCAGATGCGTGAAAATTAGAAAGTCAGACCTTTGACTGTGAAGATAGCCCTGCGCCTGCTTCTTGTGGATACAGTCTCACATTGTTTTCTTCCATCACTGACCTCAATATATCTGCGCTCAGGGGTTGCTAAAATGCCTGCCATCTCTCTTCCACACTTCAGCAGAGACAGTTAATTTTTTTTTTCTTTAAGCAATCCAATTCATTTTGAATTAAAATAAATAAAGAAAGAATAATAAAAAGAAAAGAAAAAAAAAAAAGACAGCTTTCCATGGGTTGCTTTAGAAGGGGGATACTGTGACCTTGAAATGCTCTGTACCTTGGGTCTGACTAGTACCACTAAGTCCTGTTACACATTCAGCTCTCCGATCCATATTTGCTTTATTTGGGGTTTTCAGCCATTTCAGTGATGATGGCTGAAAGGGAAGGAGGGAAACCATGATTCTTGTGTTTGGTTTTGAAAGGATGTTGAAGGAGTCAATCCTAGGGGCTCAGTTCTCCCACGTACCACAAAAAGATGGGCCATTTGCACCGAGTGGGTCTGGCTAGCAATGTGTTAAGCTTTCCAATCTCGAGAGCACACATACCCACAGTTTTAAGTAAAGAGGCCTTCTGATTGACCTACTTGAGCCTGGAAACAAGCACGGAGTGACAGCTGTAACAGCTAACACGCGGCTGCCTGTTTAGGTTAGCTGCTGGTGCAGGTCCCTTCCAGGGTACACCAGAAAGGGCTGGATTCGAACAAGCCTTGCCCAGGTGGTTCCTACATCGTGGTTTCCTACTGCGACCCAAGGAAGGATTGCAACCAAGGGGTAAACTCAGGCAGTGCCAGCTCCTAAAGCAGCTGCTGCCAGCAACCGCAGGCCATGCCGCTGAGCTCTGGGTTCCCCTTTTGGCTTCACTACTGGTGCAGAAATTAAATCCTTCCTGACCATGGCATTGTGTTCACTGGAGCTTTCAACAGAGCAGCAATTGTCCCCTTGCTTCATTGCCAGCCAGGCACAGGATTACTCATTAGCTGGGCAAGTTGGAATACAAATGTGAGAGAAATCCATGTTCACGTATTTGGGGTCTTCGGAAAAGATTCCCTGCAGGCCGTGCTATGTCCTGCAGGACTTGAGCTTTCAGTGAAGGATATGGGATGGCAGTTTTTGGTACAAGCTATGTAACCACAGTGGCGTTGAAGAGAGAAGGAAGGAAGGAAGGAA